GAGGATTGTGCGATTAAATCGCTCTGCTACTCCATTTTGGCTAGGTGAGTAAGGTGCTGTAGGCTCGATTTCGATTCCTTTTGCTTTGCACCATTCATCCATTTGCTTATTAATAAGTTCTTTGCCATTATCGAAGCGTATGGCTTTCGGCCTGTAGCCAAATTTGGTTTCCACAAGAGAGAGGTATTGTGTGATTCGTGTGAAGGCCTCATCCTTCTTCTTTAGGAAGAGAATGGTGCGCCTTCGAGTATGGTGATCGGTAAATGAGATATAATACTTCGATTTCCCAAGAGATTCGACTCTGGCTGGGCCCCATACATCACTGTAGGTGAGGTCCCCTGGGCGCTCAGTTTTTCGGTCAGACTCCTGTGGGAATGGCTTCCTAGTGATTTTGGCCTGAATACAGGCCTCACACTTTTTGGATGGCTTGCTGGTTTCGTCAACTTCAAGTCCTATTACTAATCCATGTTTCTTTAGGATCTCTAGGCTGCTAATAGCAATATGGCCAAATCTTCGATGCCATTCATCCCAAGTCAGGCTTGATTTATCAGCCACATTTGCTATAGGATGTCTAGGCGCGACTGCTTTTGCATTTAGCAAGGCCATATTCCATTTCCATGTCCCTTCTCCAAGTTTCTTGCCATTACTAAGCTTTAGCTCGATCTTCCGGTCCTTTCCAGACCATTGGATGCCCGATTTCTCCAGAATACCCATGGAAATGAGATTATATTTGCAGTTTGGAGTGTATCGAACATTCGAGATCTGAACACGGCGAGTTTCGTCACCATTTTCGAATTCTAGGATAACCTTGCCGATTCCTTTGATCTCTGTTCCTCCTCCAACTCCCTTGATCATGTCATTTGCAGGTTCAAGGGACCAGAAGAGTGATTTGTCATAGCAGAGATGCTGATTTGCGCAGGAATCTAGCCACCATCCATTATTTGGCTTGGTATTCAAGTCTTGAGTGGAATTTGATGCCATTAGGGCAAGATCAAATAAAGGTGTGTCTTCAGATTCATCAGCCATATTGGCTCGATCCTTTCCCTTCTTCTGTTTCGGTCCTTGGCCCTCTTTGTCTCCCCCTTTAGCCCAGCAGTCTTGTTTCGTATGACCCTTCTTCTTGCAGTTTTCACAGGTCGTATTTGGCTTCTTGGACTTCTTGGGTGAGTTAGAGAC